GGTGACAGTATCCTGAAAGAGCAGGGAGAGCAGCAGAGTAGAATGGGCTGAACAGGGTAACAGAGTGATTTCAGTTTATGTGCAACTACAATCTATAATGTTGTGCATGTTTTTGTGTGAAGGTGATCACTAAAGGTTAATTCTTTGTCCACGGTGAACCTCAATATTTGAAAGGGTGGATCTGTTTGACCTCTTCAGGATTATGCAACATGTGATAAAAGGCACAATATTTGGATGAAGACAGAGGCTTTATTATGTCTGATGAGATACAATTGTGATGAAACAAATGGCCTACTGCCTAAGTGTGGTCAGACTGCGAAAAAAAAAAAAAATGCATTAAGAAAGCCCAACAGAAGAAACTTAATAACTGATGAAATGTAGAGCGTTATGTTACTGTGCTTTAAGGACATTGAGTTTTAAAACTTATATATAACATTTATTTCATGATGATTTGTGATCAGATTGGGACTGATAATCATGACAATCATGACATCACAACTCCGTTCTGAAGGCAAATAAAGGAAACATAAACGTGTCTTTATATACCAGTTCTTTGTATACCAGCACTTAAATTAATGTTTAAATTAACATCACTTTAAGATGCTTATCAGTTTGTAGGAAGCTGTTAAAACAAAAATAGTAAATGCTTTTTTTTCTTGTTTTCCTTTTCAAACAAATTCAACCGTTCATTGTTCTAAACTCAAGCATACGGTTTACTTTAATTAAGGAAATAATTAAGTTAATGTGATAAATAGTCAAAGAAAGTTGATGAACAAAGTTAACATATGTTACAGATATAAATAAGGTATTGCAGGATAGTTGTAGAAACTCTATATCCAGTACACTTTTAATGTGATTAGGCATAAACCCTTTTTCTGCATCTGCTTTTTAGTCCAATCCTTCTTTTCAAGGAATTCGGCATCTTGACCAGGGAGTGATTAGAGGAATCTTACATGACTTTTGATTATGGTCTTCTCAGAAAATCCCCCTTTCAGCCTTTTATGTTAAAAGCTCTAAGAAATAAGAAGACAGGAGCCCATCTACAAAGCAGCTTGCAGCCTTATTGTTTTGTATTGCATCAGCCTCTTCGGTAGAGACGCTTCAAAAAGAACCTTTTTCATTTTTGCACCTGATTTTTGCTTGCTTTAGGCCTAAATTGAGCCAAGTGGGTTTTATTTGTTTTTGCTTTTTCCTGTTTCTTGCTGAAAAAAAAAGAAAATAAGAAAAACATACTTTTATTTTAAAATGTACTACGGATATTTTTTTCAGAATATGGAGTGTAGAAAATCTGAGCTGATTGAATTCACTTTAGCTTAAAAAGGCATGTGCTTGAAAATGTAACAAATTGTAGCACTTATGAAGTTCAAAAGCTTTCTGTAAAACTCAACTGTAGCTAGAATCAGACGAAGAGCACAAAACCCGTCACTAATGATTTGAGTGTTCCTTGGGGCACTGTGACCTCAGTACATGTTAGAAGTTTGTGTGTTTCTTCATAGATTTAAATCCATCCAGCCATTTGTTGTCTATAGCTTCTCCTTTAAAGGTCACAGGGGACCTGAGGCCTATTTCTACCAGTTTTGGGTACAAAAAAATACAGAAGAGAACCATATTATTAATTACAAATAAATCAGATTTTAATAACCTAATTTAAAAAGCTACTTTTAATGTGGCAGCTATAGTAACTACAGCCTGTTTTCACTGTTTTGGATCTAAAACACTAAAATCATGGCCTCCCTTTGTTTAACTGTGAGCCATGGCATTTTAAACAACAATTGATTCTCTGATTTAAGGATTCTAGGGCACAATAAGAGGCTTAGAGCTGGAAGGAAGTGGAGGCAAAATAAAGAGTGTGGATGAGCTTGTAGTGATTTAAAAGTAATCAATAAAATGCTTAATCAAAGGGGGGGCAGGCATAATTCAAGCAGGACCGGTGTGATGTATTCCCTCGGTGGAGTTGCTGGAGAGCTGATGCTGCATTTTGCTTCACCTGTAAATGAGAAACTGCTGCATTGTTTAGGTAAACACAAACTGAGCCGCATTATTCCAGTTCATAAAAAGTAAGATATGCAAAATGCACAGACTGGAATAAATATCGGACAGCATCATCAACTTGAATTAAAATACCAGTTTGACAGCATCTTAAATGTATAATATAAAATGTAGAATTTTATTGTTTTTATACAAAAATCAATTAGTCTTAATGTAGCTGATGATAATTACTAAGGCATATAAATGTCAGCACATTTTTTGTTATACACATTGTCTATTATTGTTGCTTCTTATTTGCCAAATGTAGTTTTAAGACATTATTATTATGAAAATTGTTTTTCTTTTTAGTTTTGACAATAATAGATTTTTATTACAGAAAACATTTTTTGAGAACTTTGTGCTCCTCCTAAAGCGTTTTCTTTTAAAGTAGAATAATTAAACATTAATTAACTTAATGATTGTTCTTCTGCTAATTATATTCATTAAGAAAGCAAACAAAGAACGCATTTCTGTAAAGATTATTTTAGTCAGATTTTGCTCTCTTTTGTCTCATTATTTACTCAAGCGCCAAATGTTTCTGGAGTCTTTTAATGGATCTACTGTCCATAAATTTATGCCATAAATGTCAAGTGTTTTGGAAAAATTTTTTTAGAAACTAGTGAAAAAAATAAGAGATGAAAGTAGAAAGCATGTCACCATAAATATGGAATAAATCTGACAATTTCCAAACATTGAATGGAAACAGTAATTTTGCTACTTCCTTTAGGGGGGCAGTTTTCATAGTGTAAAACACAAGTTTATTAAATTCTTTATAACACTGGAGCTGAACCCATGAAATCAACAACATAAATAAAGATAAAAGATTCAGCATTCGCTGCAATTGTTTTATATCTGTCTTCAGTAAAAATGACTGCAAAACAGAATAAAAAGGAAAATCCCACAAGAAATTTCAAAAGATATTTTTTTGTACATAAAAAGCATGCAGCATTTGAAAACTTCAGAACTGTCACAAATCCCATGTCTTGAATCTGCAGGTTTGTCAGACTCAGGAAGTGGGAAAGCAAAAAAACCCAAATTTTAGATTCCAGTCAGGAAGCCCAAGTCTACCATCCCCGATCAGAGGCTAAAAACTCACAATCTAAAGCAGCAGCTCCTGCCTCTATACCTTCCCTGCATAAAAAAATAAATAAAAACATGCCCTCTATCTGTGTTTTCAGCTTTGCTTTCATCTGATCTGCCCCCCAAAAGCACCCCGCCTCTGCTTCGTAGGTGTTTGTAGTAATACTTTCTGTTGCTTTGTTGGAAACTCAGTTTGACTGTGTGACCCGAGCGGTCGAGCGACTGTCGGCACCTCCAGCAGCACAGCTCCTGCTGAGAAGGAAGCCCCTGATGCAACTGCAGCTCTTTTTTTAACCTCTGAATTCCTCAAATCAAACACACAGAGAGGTTGCAGACATAAAATGATATCAGGTGCAGACACTCCATGCTCCAGTCTGTAGGATTTTAGTCCCAACTCTGCTGGCGGGATGAAAAAAAAAAGTGAACTTATTAAATTTCAAAATTGATATTAAGGAGAAAACTCCCATAACTTTAATATTTCAATGTTTAGAGTGTGCAAACTTTGTAAATGACAGAAAATGCTTATACATTTATTTTTGATGTTGCAAGAAGATTGTTAGTATCATTCTTTACCAATCAATGTCAGAAATCATATCTGTTTCCAAAAAGTTATTTTTAATCTCTTAGATAAGGGAATAAAGAATGGCGGCTGGAAACTCTAAAATATTTCCACTTTTTTGTTCTTTAATTACTTCCTAATTTGATTTGGAAATTGATGAAAGACAATCCTATGACTTCCAGACTAGAAAGCCTCAGATCAGGCTGTATGTTCAGGCTTGTTGTCTTGTTGAAAGGAACAACATGTGACCCATTGATAACTGTTTTGCAAACCCCAACAGGTATGTTTTAATTGTTTTCCAATTTTATCTCTATTTAGTGTCAGTTCCTCCCTCCTCTCATCAATTCTGTCTGGTTTTCCTTTCCCTGAAGAAAAACCACATGAAAGGGACAATTTGGCATGTTCTGTTCAGTATGTCAGCTTTGCACCTTCTTTCACAAGTTGGTTGGGTTCCTTACCCAGTTAGTAGAAAAAAAAAAATATATATATATATATATATATATATATATATATAGATATATATATATATATATATATATACACTTCTTATTTCTTGCTTCCAACAAATGCTTTTTTTGTCACTCTGCCACAAAGGCCATATAGAAAGGGAAAACAAATCATGGCATCTCCTATTTAAATTGTAAATCTTTTTTATTATGACAAATCATGAAACAGTTTCAGGAGTAATAGTTCCTTTGCAAGGTAAATGAAAAAATTACCTTATTCAACATGTACTGCTACAACAGCAGAAACATGTTGACATTCTAACCTAGTATTTCACTAAAACATAACAATGCATCGTGTTCTATTTCCAAACAACAAGCCAATACTTTTTCCACACACTTTGAACACTGCAATGCAGCCAATATATTGGTTTTTGAAAGGAAAGCACAAGCTCAAGAGTGAATTTGCCTTGAGATGAAAGTGACATTTAGAGCAACAACGAAAGAGAAACTGAGAAAGTGTGTGACCTTGGATTTACACCGAATGCGTCTCTGCTCTGCTGCACACTTCACCAGTGGAGAGAAGCCATTGCTAACCACCATGGTTTGCACTATGTGTGGCTCCATTCCACTGTGAACCCCAGGAGTGCTTTCTTTGCGACTGAGGTATAAAGTAAACATTAAATCCAAGTATCTAAACTTTATAAGCGACATGTTGTTTCTACATACAGTATGTTTTAAAACTGTCCCTTTGGTGTGACAGTATAACAGACAGATAATCTTTAGGTAAAATCAAGCTCCTCTGCTTCCAAATATGTGAAAAGCATTTTATCTATAAAAGTTACCTATGGCAGCTTTAATCAAAACTGAAAATGTGAAGGCAAGCTCACCAGATGCACTTGGTAGAGGATGCTGATTCCCAGAGTCATGAATGGCTTGGAGAAATCAATTACCTTCTCCCTCTCTGAGGTGATGGTGAAGCCGGCGACGGCCAGGTCAGCTTTCTAAGGCAAGAAACACAAATATCAGATATGATTGTTCAGTATTTGTAACTTCCAGGTACAGGAGAATATAAATGAATGAAAATGGAAAAGGATTCTCTTCTTTCTGTGATTTATGGTGCATGTGCAAACAAAATTGAAAAATAAAATAGATAAAGAATCTCAAACATAAGGTAGAGGAAAACAGAAATAGCAGAGAGTGTCAGTGGAGGTCTCATAGAAAATACAAAACAAAAACCACACAACATAAAAGAAAGGAAGAAGAGTCAAGTGGGTCAAGTCACTTCAAGGAAAGCAGATATCTGGGTAAAAAAACAGGAGACAATAATTGAACTGAAGAAAATAAAAAAACAAGAACTGGGGCCTTAACGCAAATTTCTATTCAGTGATATACCACCAGAAATGTTTAGTCCTTAAGTAAATAATGAGAGCAAAAAGAGCAAAATCTAACAAACATAATCTTTATAGAAATGTTTTCTCTGTTTGTTTTCCTAATTAACATAATTATCAGAATAACGTCCTGCAAATTGCATTCAAGTTTAACTATTCTGCATTACCAGAAAACACTTTGGGAGGAACATAAAGTTGTCAGAAACAATGTTTTCTGTAATGGTGTTCTAATAGCTTTTGCCTTCAGATACCAACATTTTCTCCCTCTGCAGGGTTGATGGTGTAGAATAGTTTCTTCTTTGCATTTTCAAAGAATAATTTTCCAACAATGAATTTAATTAATCTCTTACAAACACAAGAAGTTGTTATAAGGATCATGGATTCTTAACATACAATTAGATTACATAAATCTGAGAGCTTTTTTTTTTTTCTGCAAACTTTCTGCTGTTCATGAAAGGAAGAAAACAAGATCGGGTGAATTTTTTAGTGAAATTTGTCAGGATTTCTGGTCATGCAGAGGTGTGTCTTGGAAGTCCATGATGTATTAGGACATTGATAAGCAGAAAGACAAAATGGGCTGACAGGAAACAACAGATCTGTCAAAGGAGGAACTGGTGAAACAAGGGATATTTATGGTGGGGAGCTACACAGGTGAGTTAAAAAACAAATTGAGGAACAGCTTTGAGAGGGACAAGAAAAGGTGTAAACAAAAATAAACTCAATTTTCAAAAGGCTGTCACCTCTTTTTCCTCATAAAAAGTTAAAAGCAATCTCTAATCAGCGGAATATACTTCAATTGAAGTTTGACTCATGTTTATCTCAAATTATTTTGCTGTTTCCAGCTTCAATCAGTAAATTTAAAACTGTAACAAATAATTAAAAAAAATTTAGTATCCCCTGGATGCTCGGGGCAACAATTTCTGATCGATAACAGTCAGCCACTTGCAGTACTATCACAGTGTCTATACATCATGCATAGTTTTGTCTGCCAACCTGTCACTGATTTTTTTCCCGCCTCACAAAATGCTTCCAGTTAAATGGCTTCAAGATAGCGGAGGCTTCTTCAGGGTTTATGTAACCGAGTGTCCTCTGACAGGCGATGTTGTTTATCTGACTCTGTCATGACAATTACAAAATGACTTAACTAATGCAAAATAAGAGTCTTAAATGTACATATGGGGTTCATAACAACAGCTTAAGCTACATCAAACTCTAATTCATGCGTTGTAAAACATATTTCACTTTGTCATAAATATTGAGATTTTAATATTGCAAGAACCTGTCCGGTTGCATCTCCTTAAACATCTGACATTAAATACAAAATGTCAAAAGTCTAACAATTATTTCCTAGATTTCAAATTAACTGTTGATGAGAAGTATTAACGAATTATGTATTTTTGTTTTTTTAGTTTCACAACAGATTTTGCATGAATTGAAGGCTGATCAGTGGCTTTTTGAGGTAAGGTAAATTAAAGGAAATTTACATGTTGATGAAACTCCTATAATGTAACCTACAAAGAGTCACCATGGATAATGATGCTGTAGGCAGAAAGGAAATCTGGTAGCAGTCAGTCATGCAACATATCTGAAGAGGCCTCTGACTGAAGATTGTTGGTGCATCACACATAGGAGTATTACATACTAGCAGCTTAATTTCTGCTCAGCAGAGAAGAAATATCACAGAAATGTGTCCTGGATTCATCAGTTGTTGGACAGCACTGCAGATTCCCTTCTTTAGTTTTTATAATTTAGTTTTTTAAAAATCCTTCCTTTGCCACAACTTGCAAAACAAGGGGGGATAATTATCTAAACATGAAATATATTCTTGAATCCCCCAAAAAATGAACTACAGTTTGCAAAAAGTTCAAATCATTATGTATGTAATAGATCCAACATGTTGCCACCATGAGTGGAAGTGTCTTAGAAAAATATTAACAAAAGGAAACAGCAGCCTGGATGATCATCTCCTGCTCATTATGCCAGAAGCTTAGATTTATTCTGTAAGGACACCGATTATTCAAACACAACTCATACATTCATCAGACATAATTGGCCGTCTGAGTCTGTATGGGCAATATGTTGCCTAATTTGTGGAATCATGCTGTCAGACGCAATGATTAATAAAAGTTCTGTAGTTGAAGGTATCGCTCAACGTTGTGTCATGACTGAATGAATCCAAATGGAGGCCGCCTGTGTTTCTGAAATCACTGCTTTGCTGCCAAGTGATGAAGGTAATTTTTAAACCAGGAGTTAAAGCTACTGTTGCCAGTCTTGAAGAAAAGTAAATTAATGCTTAAAAACTAACTTCAGTTACTCCATCATACAGCTTCAATCAGTAAATTTATTTTCAGTTGCATTTCGTTTCTTCAAACCCAATTTAATCAATGTAAGGTTTAAATTAACTTCTATCATACTGATGATACACTGACTGTTGAAAGTCCTGAATTCATTATGGGATTCATAATAAGGGTCGGCACCTTACTCCCAAACATTTAAACCACTTTTGCACAGATTCTGGAGCTTTTAATGAAATATTGATTTTCTTACTGTAGAGGAGTCAATGCTGAAGGTGCAGCTGCCACTGAATGTATTACGAGTTAACAATGAATTGTTATTGTGCTGGTGTCATGGGACAATGAGAACCTTGGTCCCTAACAAGTGCCTTTTGTCCTGATTGCGTAAATAGTGGAACAGCAGGACAGAAGGTGACACCAGACACAAATGCAGACAAACAGATAAACTTCATCAGCATTAAAATAAAACACAAATTTCTATCTGGAGGGTGGACTCCACCTGTTTGATTGACCCAAAATCAGTTCTATGACGTTCCAGACTTCATTTGCTCTTTTTAGTTTTTGCCTAAAAAAGAAATCTGAACTATTTTAGAGTAGTGTGTGTGTGTGTGTGTGTGTGTGTGTGTGTGGGTGTGCGTGTGTGTGTGTGGGTGTGTGTGTGTGTGTGGGTGTGTGTGTGTGGTGGGGTGTGTGTGTGTGTGTGTGTGTGTGTGTGTGTGTGTGTGGGGGGGGGGGGGGAGGGTGTGTGTGGGTGTGTGTGTGGTGCGTGTGTGTGTGTGTGTGTGTGTGTGTGTGCTTGTCTAACATCCCTATAATCTGACTTGTAAAGTGAATTATTCACATTTTGAACGTGTGCTTCGTGCTGAATATGGATAAAGTCGTCACAAAGGAGAATGAATTCATGAAAATGTTATCTGTGAAATATTACCTGGAGTTCTAATTCAGACTCTCTATTCTTCCTTGTTAAATATACAGAAACCAGCTCTCTTCATCATGCTCTTGATCTCATTCTAATACGAAGAGTGGACTATTATTAACAACTATAGAAATGTGTGACCACGGAGACTGTGAGAGGAAATTTGAGTCTCGTATGCATCTGATCATGCAGATACAAAATTAAAAGCAGCAATTGTAATTTTTCCTTTGTTGCCAAGAGCAACTTTATTGAAAACAGCGATCCCAACTTGCCCACTTTAGTTTATCACGGTTTTGACAACATTATAGCCTGAACAATAAATGAAAATTATCTGAAAAAAGTATGATCAAGAGGAGGCCGTCCATTTGGTTTGACATACAGTTCTGTACTTAAGGACATAAAGCAACCCACTACTAAAAGAATCTTAGCTAGATTAGAAAAATGTGATAATGTAAGAGAAATTGAAGCTAAAACAACTTCTTAAATTCAAATAGTGGAAAAAGAGAGAAAAAAATCAATCCTCAGGCTGTAGGCAGACAGAGAGTTTTATCATTTTCCTTAAGCTTATGCAGACTTAATTTGCTGCTTTAATTGACATCAGTTTATATTAGATAAAACAATATGACAATATTTTTTTTTCCATGCGCCTTGAGACAACATGTGTTGAAGTGTGTCTGATTCAGTGCTATATAAATAAACTTAATTAATTTGAAATTTCACTGAGGTACTATTGGTCTATAAACTTCCTCTATTTCACTCTGTAATATTAATTTTCCTAATCCACTCAACACATTTTTCCTGCTTTTGAAGTTGCTCTGCTCCATCCCTAAAACCAGCTTTTTTTAGAGAAACCCATTGCTGTTGAACTTTCCCTGCTCACAGGTCTCTCTGCAGTGAATTGTAAAAGCACAACAAGCATGGCCTAAAGAAGGCAGGAATGTAAACACGCTGTTATTCTGCTGGCGTTAACATTTATCCAACCACCTTTTTGTTCCACAAGAAAGTAAAAAAAAAAAAAAAAAAAACATACTTTAGAGAGCAAGTTTCATCCCTGCAGAAAAAGTCTGCATCGATGTGCAATATACAACAGGAAATATTTTGGCAGGAGACATTACATGTAGTCATAGAGACATACTGCTGAGGAGGAATCGAATATTTTAGTAAAGGAGTGAAAACAAATATTGTGAGAGCAGCGTTTTTGAGCGAGAGGGGTTTAATCTGAGACTAGAAACAGTGATTACTTTTTTGTAAGTAAAAATATTTCTTATATGGAATCAGGAAATATAAATGCTTCAACAATAAGAGTGTAATTTTGTATTGGCTTACACTACCATGTTCAATTTGCTTAGCAAAAATTAATCTTCTAATTAATCTTCTATTCGTAACTAATTGTTTATTTTTAC